TGAACTTGAATAAGCCATTCAAATCCTTAAGCAAATCGAAGTAGCAACAAAAAAGCACAGTGATTGGGCGGCTATAAGAAATCAAGCGATAAGCGCCAAAGTGCAAAGCCATTGAAAACTTTATGTGTTAATATTAATATTGTTGTTGCTGTTGTTGTTTTAACATGCCACGTGCTATATGTATCGAATTTTAAATTCAAAATTAAAACAATTTCATCCACGGCACATCACTGTCTGGAAGATAGCAAACTGACAGGGAGCAGCTGGGGAGTCGGCGCTTGCCCGCAGTCAAGGAATTTCGGAAACTTTTCAAAGCAATAAGCAGAAAAACAAATTGTTGATGAGCGAGCAAGTAGAAATTAAGTAAAATCAACAATCGTGCTCTTCACAGCGATTAGTGGGCAGGCGAAGTGCGCCGGTATTGGTGTGGGTGTGTGTTATGTTTGTGGGCACTTGCTAACTGTGGTGCGAAGCAAAAAGTTTAAGAAAGCAAATACAAGAAAAAACTCAACAAAAGCAATACTAAAACAACAGCAACCGTCCGTTAACGGTACTCCAATCTAATCTGATAAATTGGAATTTGATTTTAATTTGAAATTTTTGACAAGCTACAAGCGTTTGTCTAACAAATAGCTGCCCGATAGCTACATGAATGGAAAACAAGTTGTTAGAACATAAGTATTAAAAATTGAAAAGTGCACACATACACACACACATATACGCATAGGCACAAACACACATTCACATGCATACGTTCACTTCGATTTGATTGCTTGTCGATTTCTACTGAGTGGATGATTGGGCAGAAGAAAAAGTTATTGCCGCCGAAAATTTTGAAGGTTGGAAAAGTTTTTGCTTTGAAAATCAAGCATAGCAATCGGCGTGTATGGCCTGTATAATCTAGCGGCTGTTATGCACAATGCCTATCTTCAATATTGTGATTTTAGTCATGGACAATTGCGTTTTAGATTAGGTCACTGAGCTGGAACCGCAGCGGGTGGGCAGGCGATTTTTAGAATTACTGCTATTCTCCAGCGAACAAAATGTTGCTGAGAATTTAATTTTGTTGCGGAATTTAATTGATTATAATTTCTGTGCTCGCCTTTTCGCTGAGCGGTATTTAATGGTAATGAAATGCATGCTGAGTATGCAGCTGGGAATGTTAGTTTTGGCATTAAGCTGGCTCGGAAATATATACTACAGCAAACTTCGGAATAAATTTAAGTGTTTGCGTGTGAAAAATAAGGAAACTTGTTAATAGTATTAATCGTTACATAATATGTACTAAGAACTTTTAATTTTAATTTAAAATCTATCGTTTAATTTGTCGCCTTGAAAGTGATCTCCACCAGATGAATTTTCCTAGTCCTCGAAACACTTTCATAAGCAATTTTTGGACCGTCTGCCCTTCCAGAGCAAATTCATGATGCACCAAACCGCGAATATCGAAAGAACAGTGAGCATCACCTTGATTCTTAAGCGGCTTGGAGTGGTCTTTTTTTTTTGTGTTGTTTTTTTCCTCCATTCCGATGATTGTTTACTGATTTGCATGACCAACTCATAAACCAATGGCTCATCAGCGGTTACAATGTTCTCCACGAATGTGGCAGCTGAATTCGCACGATCAATCATGTTCAAAGAGATCTGTTTGCTGTACTCAAACTTATAAAAAAAAAATCAGCTTTATCGGGACTAGTCGAGCTCTCCCGCACGTAAGATTTGCTTATAAAATCAAAATAAAACAAATTTTTTTCTCGATACTTTTATCTTTTGTAAAAATCGTAACGAATTACTGCAGTGTACGGACTTAAGCAGCTGCTCTAAGCCAGTTATTAAAGAAGGTAATTTTGTTGAAATATTTTTTGTCCGGGGAACTCAATTACAATTTCCTAGTACTTTTTTGTTTGTTTTGCTTCTGATTATCGCCTATTTTGGGTTGTTAAAACCAAAAGTGATAGTTTAAATTTTTAGTATATTCTGTTGTAATCAAGTGACGAAAAGAAGGGTAAAATCTTTGCCTTGTCTTAAATTACAAAAATAGCTGTAAGTGAATGAAAGCTTTTTGAACTCGAATTCGTAATCAAGACACCAGAAATATCCCACAGACCTTTCAGCAAATCCGTTGAAACTTTTTCCTTCATATTTGTTGAGTAGTGATATAAACACCACTATTTGGTACACTTGAAAATTTAACATCTTGCTTATTTGTCAATATTGACAATTTAGCAAGATAATTTGTCAAAATTGACAATTTAGCAAGATAATTTGTCAAAATTGACAATTTAGCAAGATAATTTGTCAAAACTGACATTTTACCAAGATAGTTTGTCAATATTGAAAATTTATCTAGATTTTCTATTTTGTTGCATAAACTATAAGCTCTTTTCTTGATCAATGGCTAGGTTTTTAAGAAAAGACTTGATAAAAATCTTGAGAAATTATCAATATAGTGTTAATGTGTTAAGTCCAGAAGTAAGTAAAAATTTAAAAAATTTCTTTCTTTAACACTGATATTATTTAGTTAAGTAAAGTTTCTTTAAAAGAAAATATTTCAAAATTAAGCTTCGAATAAAAAATATAAGCTGAAATTTATTTTGACATTAGCTCCTCTTCATGACAATTGAATGCTAGTCGCAATATTGCTATAATTGTAGTGTCAAATTCTGAAAAGCCTTTTATATAATTAAATAAATTGTTTCAATAGTTTACTTCATGGACAACAATTTTTAAGTCTCATAAAATATTTATTTATATAAAGTGTTGTATTTGAATTAAATAAAACAAAAAAAAAAAAAAAAAATCTCTGTGACCAAAAAAAAAAAAAAAATCTCTGTAGTACATATTTATAAAGCGATGATTAATAATATGATATATACGACAAGAAAAAAAGGAAAGCTGAAGGCAACATAAAATATGTAGATATTTTCCGTAGAGTTGTCATCGGCTTGAAATTTGAATATGGGAATAATAAAGAAAAATATAGACATTGTTCTACATATTTCTATATTTTATAAGTGACATATTTTTTATAGATGTGGCAACACTTTGATATCCGTCTTTTAAACTAATTATTATATTAACCGCTATTAAAATGTGAGTGTTACAGTAATATGTTTAAAATTATTTTTAGATGAAATAAATTTTGAAAAGAGTGGCAACTTTAAAAAATATTTAACAACTTTCCTCAAAACTTATGAACTGTTACAATTTACTGTCAAAATGTAGTTATTTAGGCGGGTTTGCGTTAAAAAAATTTTTTTTAAAAGTGTTGCCACCTGTTTAAAAATGTTCAATTATATTTAAAAAAAAATACAAAGAAATACGTATCAAATCAAAGTAACTTATGAAGTTTTACAGAAAAAATTATTATTGAAAAGTGTTGCCATCTTTAAATTGTTTATTTCAGTAATGTTAAGAATATCCTGAATTTTTAACAAAGTTAGTTTTGTATACAGAGAATGTGACAGACGATTATGGAATACATAGATATAATTATTTTTCAATATTTTGAATTTGTTTCTACTTTTATTGTTTGAATAAGAAATAATGCATTTTGACTATTATACTAAATAAGACTTTCCAACCCTATAGAAAAAACACAATTATCACTAAAATATTAGTTAAATTTTGGAACAAATTTGAATCGCTCAGACACTAAATATAATTTCAAATACTCAAATATAAACAGAAATAATTTGCTCTCCTACTAACACAGTCTTATCTGGCTTCCGAACATCTAGCATCAACAAACGGAAGCGACCTCAAAAATACTCGCACTTCAAGTATTGACGTTTACATTTCGTTTTTATGCGCACATTTTGGCAACACATTTCTCGCTTTCGATTTGCCATTTACCGCTATTTGCGCAAGCATTGATTTGACGGCGCCATAAAAAGTGTTGTCGATGGCAATAAGCGCAATATGTTGCTTGCAAAACGAAGTTGTAAAATTGTACGCAAAAAAAATAAAAAAAAATTAAATTGCTAAAAAAGTGCCTACTCCAGCGATTTAACTGTTGGCAGCCGTAAAGTATGCAACATTTTTGGTTCATTGTCAACAATTTTGCCACGTGAGGCAGTTTGTGTGCTTTAAAACTGCTGCTGTCATCAAACCTACGTTTAAGCGCTCACTGCTCTCCCCACCCCACCGTCCTTGCGCTCGCCTACACCCACATACTCCCACACTACCTTACATATTTGCAGGCGGTTTACGTAACTTCAACGTTATCTAAGCGCTCGCCTTGGTGGGGTTGATTTTTTATGCGTCAACATATATATTTTTTCGGCATTGTTGTTGTTGTTACTTAACTACTTAAGCGCAATTTTTGTCAATTTCTTGCCATTTCGCTATTTGTCGAATTTTGCATAGGCAATTTCACGCATTTGCGCTAATTTGTTTATAACTGTGCGATTTTTCACGTGCGCGTGTATGTGTGCTAAGTACTCGGGACAGTGGAGGACTTATGCATGCATAATATCTATACGCATATGTACACTTTTCCGTTCGAAGGGTGTGCGTTGAGTCGGCTTAGAAGGGAATATTTGTTAACACTCATTTTCGAATATGAATATTTGAAACCATTTTGTTGTAGTAAAAATCTAATATTAAAACGTCGTTAAGGCGTAGAAGGGCAAGCGGGAGCGTTTAATGTGTGGAGACAAGTTGAGTGAGAGCAGCACTTTCTTATATGTCTACCAGCTTTTGCCAACATTACAGTATTTTTTCAGATGTATATATTATATTTGTGTGTGTGTAAGTTATCATGTATATGTATCAAAGTATGTACGAAAATGTGCGTAAATATTTACTTTACTACCCTTATTTGTATTTACTGCCATACCCTGTAGAAAAAAATAAAATTTCGTTATAAAAGTAGACTCAAACATATACTAACACATACAGTAGCGCTGTCTACTAGTATGCCCTTCAATGCCCCACCCACACATATACGCGCAATAACATTTTTTCATTGTAAAAATTACATTTCATCTTCTACTTACATCGCACACTCAAATAATAGCCAATCGATGAGTATTGAAAGTTCAAATGTCGTGACGTGCATTTATACCAGCCGGAGTGTTCGTGACGTATCGATGTGAAGTTCAGAAAACCATCGCCCGTTTGTGGAACCTGAAAATATGTAGAGTGTAGAGAGAAAAAATTATTTTCATTTGCATGTTCGTTGGTCAAATAAAATAAAAGCAGAAAGCACTCAGCAGAAGAAATGTAAATTTTTATACAAAATACTAAATATGTGTTTACTTATGTTTACTACGTGTGTATGTACATATGTGTTTCTGTTTATACATACATATGTACATATGTACGTATGAAAATGTTTGGTATTTAAAATGAATAAAAAATGTAGCTAATAAGCTTTTAATCAAATATTTCCATACTGAACGTATACTTAATTTCTGCAAAAAATGAGTTTAAAAATTTTACTACCTTTTCTACTACTATTTCAAGAAATACCTATTTTCACTTTTCGTTGCACACTAAGTTAAATATTTGTAAAATGTTGCGCAAATAAGTAGTGGTAGTTAACTACTTTTTCTACTACTATTTTCATCAGATCTGTGTTTAAAAAATTTAGTTTTATTGGTTAAATTAATTGGTTAAATAAATTCACATCAGATTGCATTCATCGGAAGAAGTGCGAATTTTATTAGTAGTACTACCTTTTCCACTACTATTTTCGCAAGATCTTTGTTTAATTTAGTTTCTTTTACAAATTCATGTTCAAAACCAATCTAGAAAACATTCAGCAGAAGAAATGCGAATTTTATATTATTGTGTTAATTACAAAATGTACGTACAGACTATATGAAGTAGTAAATACCAAAATTTAAAAATTAATAAAAAATTTAAGTAAATTGTTTTAATTTACTTCTTTACTAACAGCGCAAAAATATTCACGCGACTACTCACCTCATATTTCGTATAAGTTTTTCTACTAACTTTTTTCTTACGATTTTTACAAATGCTTTATTTTTTAACTTTGCTTTTGACACTAACTGAACTAAAAAAATACTACTTTTTCTACTAAAAATCACAAATACTTTTTTTTTTAGCTTTTTCTCTTCAACAAATACTCTTTTTTACTGAAATTCTAAAACAAAAATACTTCTAGAAAATTTTTATACTTTTTCTGCTACTATTCACAAAAATATTTCTTTAGCTTGTTCGCTGCTACAAATACTCTTGTTTACTTCAGTTCTTAAAATACAAAAAAAAAAAAAATCTACTTCTATTCACAAAAGTTTTCGTTAGTTCTCAAAAAATTCTACTACTATTCACAAAAGCTTTCTTTAGTTTTTTCTCTTTTACCAGCTAAAATATAGATTATATACTATGTATGTTTACTCCTTACTACTGCAGGTGTATAAAAGTATAAATAAGATTCATTGTTATTTTATTTTTAATATTTGGACACTACTATTTAGACCACTACACTCGAAAATAATGCACTTTAAAAGTTATATACCTATTTACACTTCAATTTAAAAAATATTTATATACTACTTTTTCCAAATTCCGCATGTCAAAAAAAGAGACATTTGTATTCTATTTTTATATTTATCCGAAATCAGAATAATATGTACATAGGGAAATATTTACTCCTCTATTACCTTCCACAATGATATAACATTTTACATATCTACTACTATTTTCAAAATTTATATTATATTATAATGCTTTAAATTTTCCACTGCACTTCTTATTGTATTTATCGAGATAAAATGCAATTTAATACATTTTCTACTTTTCTACTACTTTTTTAAACTTTGTATCTACTACTTTTAAATCCAATGTGTTGAAATAATATATCAAAGATTAAAAAAACCGTTCTTGTTATTAACTTTAAGTATATTTTTATCTACTACAATTTTCAAAAGCAGCTTATAAACTACTTTTTCATATATTCTGTACTTTTTCCTTTTTTCTGCCAACATCAAATCAAAAGTAGTATGCTACTACTTAAAAATATATTTTATCTCCTACTAAGATCCCAACACTTCTGCTACTATTCTACTACACTCATATTCTACTATTATTCATAATAGCTTTACCACTAATTAATGCTTTTCTCATATCATTCCCCAATCCACGCATCCTCCACTTAAATTATATTTTCAATTGACTTAAAACTACAAAATTATTTGAAAAACTCTCCAAACTCCTACATAAATACACTTAAAAACTAAAATAACAGTTTCAACTAGCAAAAACTAAAATATAAATACAAGCTAAGATAACAGACAGCCCACAAACAAACAAAACCGACAGACTACAAACACAATGACAAAAGCAAATTTGTCGCTGAAATCAGGGATTGTCTGTATGCGGCTGTCGGCTGGATTTTGGGTACGCTCTTCGAACGTTTTTTGTTATTTTGTTAAAAAAAAATCATGTTATTTAAATTTACTGCAAAGTACTAAAACTAGCAGAACCGTTGCGAAGGACGCGGGGCTTAGTAGGTACACATGTAATCACATATAAATATACATAAGTGTGGGTAGCTATGGCCATATGCGGGTGAGTGTGTGTGGGAGGAAATTTGCATATTTTGTATAAACACTTGTAATACATATTTGCTTGCACGGTTGATGGAACTTATCCATGTGTGTGTGGATGTGTGCGTACATTCGATGGCGAATGCCCGAATAGATGAAGGGATAAATCGTGTATCTTAGGGATGCCAGCGTTGTAATCGAAAACGGTAGTTACTATTTGTCTTTCGGCATGGGAAGTAGTTGAAGCTGGTAACTTGGGTACATAAACGTATCTATATACTAAATATGTATGGAGTCACGCGCATGTGGATGTTGTTAGGGCAGATGGTGGTAGGAAAAATTATCAACATTTTGAGTACACTTAGTATATACATACATACAAATACATACACAGTAGTGGTGTTAGGGTAGGGCGCGGTTGGGCGACCGCCCAGGGCGCCTGTCAAAAGGGGCGCCGCAGACGCCCTCCAGCTCATGCTCATAGTTCGAGGTCTGGGCTATGACAACGAGGCGAATATGAAAGGAAAAAATATTGGGGTTCAAAGGAGAATTCTCGACATAAACTCCTTAGCTGTTTATGTGCCATGGGGATGTCATAGCTACAATCTAGTATTATGCGTTGTCACTAAGTCATCCGTAGGATCAGTCACTTTGTTTGGGGTATTTCAGAGGTTGTTCACATTGTTTTCAGCTTCTGTTCATCGATAGAGAATTCTAACCGATCACTTGGCACTATATGCTATAAAAAAGCTCAGTGACACACGTTGGGAAGCAAGAATAAGTAGTGTTAAAGCAGTCCGTTATCAAATTAGTACTATCCACGATGCTTTGATTACTTTGGCTCTTGATAGTCAGAAAACTGCTGTTCAAGTGCCTCATGACGCTACTACTCTGGCCGAACAGCTAAAAGATTTCAGCTTCATAGTTTCATTGCTTGTTTGGTATGACATACTTTATCAAATAAATATTGTAAGTAAATCTCTAYAGTCAACAGATATGGATTTTGGTAAATGTACAGAAATGTTGAAAAAATGCTGCAATTTCTTGGAAGACTACAAAAATACAGACTTTAAAAGCGCTATTTCAACTGCAAGGAGTTGGCCGAAGAACTGGAAATTGAATCTGTATTTCGAGCTACAACAAGAATTCGCCGTGTTAGGCGTCAAGCTAGTGAAATTCCAAGCCATGACCCTATAACTTCTCCAGAAAAAAACTTTGATGTTGAATTTTTCAACTGTCGTTTGGACACTACATTAATTTCAGTTAATGAAAGGTTCGATCAGTTAAATGAGTACTCTGAACCTTGTTCTTTTTTGTGCAATATTAAACAGATTCCAGAAAAACCCGACCTTATCAAGCTCTGTAGTGATCTCCAATTAAAATTAACTGTATACTCTAAATCAGACATAGATGGTTGTATGTTGTGTGATGAACTTGTAAGTCTGATATCCTCTTTGCTACTCCCATTTTTGTTTTAAATTTCATCAAAGATTGCAACTTACAAGAATCTTCGATCAACAATTTCTCAATAAAACTTTCTCAAGCAACTTTGTCAATTGAAAACGAAATTGCTGAAAATATCGACTTTGACAACCTTATAAAAGAGTTCGCTGATAGAAAGGTCAGAAAAACAAAATTTTATTAGTGTTTTTTTAATAAATGGTTATTTTTTATAATAAATATTTATTTCTTTTAATAAGCGGTTATTTCACTAAATGCTGTCTCTTATACACATCTTACAAACTTATGAAACGTGATATACAGTAATACAGAAGCCAGAAAACCTTCAACAAATTTTAACACAGGCTTCTTAATCACCGATGAATATTTTTTTATTAAAAATTCAAAGCCGCAATGTCGGTCAAGAAGGATTTTTTTTTAGAAACCGCCATTTCGTCTAAAAAATTTTATTATGTTTATTCTATGACTTCTATTTTTAATATTACTGTAACGAAATCTATGTGATATTTTAATTTTAGAGGATCCAGTTCAGAGATATAGTGATCAACGCAAAACGTGTTTCCTGAGAAAAGTTACCGGAGATCCCAATAATAATGTACAAATGTGTACAGATTTTTGATTCAATAAATTTAAAACGTTTTCTCAGAAATAGTTCTGGAAAAATCGCTTTTCTTCTGCCTTCTAAGAGTATTTGTGTAGTACATTTAAGCTCAGAAAGAGCATATCTTTGAGCTATAGAAAATATTCTAAATTTTATTTCTTAACCTTTTTACTGTTCGAAAAGCTGGTTGTGCGCTGAACCCAAAATACCGTGCACATTTTTGAAGGAGATATTTTTTAATGAATAAAAAATTCAATTAAAAATATTCAAAATAGCAAAGAAAGAAAAAAAAAATAATAATAATCACATGAACTGGAGGTTCTGATTAAAAAATGTGAGACTACTTAAAATGAACTTCACCAAAGTATGAAAAAGCACAAACGTTGTATAGAATGTATCTGACAATAGTTCCTTACTGGCAAAATAAGTATGGAACAGCGAGAGACTACGAAATGACAAAAGGAAAAAGCTGACGATTATTGCTTTTGACCATTAAATATTTAGGTTAAACTTTCATTAAAAAAGTATAAGTATTGAAATATGTAGAACCTACTACCTGTTCGAGTTCTGCTATTTATCAGTACTGGTCTCTAAAATATGCCTCAATTGCAATGTTAAGGCGGCACACCTTAAAAAATATTAAGGGTGATCCATTTAGAAATTCCTTTTTTTAAAGAAACACCACAGAAACTTCAAGTTTAGTGGGGACTGTTTATTATCATTCGAAAGAAAATCCTTTGGCACTTATTTTTTGCAGATTATCTCTTTCAAATGTTACCCACGGCTACGTCTGAGATTAGACTCAACCATTAAGTAAAATTTTCTATAACTCCTTCGCCCATTTCGACTGGTAATTGCCGATTGATAAATTTGATATTTTGCTCTAAGACCTAAATCGAAGCGGGATTGTCCGCATATACTTTAGACTTCACATATACCCACAGGAAAAGTCTAACGTTGTGGTATTTACAATCTTGGTGGCCAATCGACTCAAAACGGGACCCCAACAACCCATTCGACCCAAAACGTGAAATTATCTGCAAACAGGAGTGTTCTTTCAATAAATCCATTGACTGATGCAATATGTGAGAAGTGACGCCGTCTTCTTGAAACCATATATTGCCGAGATCACGAGCTACAATTTCAGGCATTATATAGTCGGTTATCATGACGCGATAAATGCCGCCATTGACGGTTACATTCTCAGCGATATCATTTTTAAGAAATATGGACCGATGATTTTAAACCACATTAAACCGTTATGTTTTCTGAATCAAATAACATCCCGTGAATCTCTTCAGGTTGCTCTTTGTCCCAAATATGGCTAATTTGCTTGTTTACATAGGCTTTGAGTCAGAAATGGGTCTCATCTCTGAAGAAAATTTTTGGTTCGAAAGCATCGGATCTTCATGGAACTTTCTAGGCCGGATAGAGCGAGGCAATGCCTCTTAGGAAGATCGAGCGGCTTCAGTTCTGGCATAAGCTGTATTTCGTACTCTTTCTATTTAAAATCTCTACAATCTCCGTGAGCACTCTCAGCTGAGGCTGCTACATTCCATCACTGCGTGCTGGACATGGTATATTGGGTCGAATATTATCCTATAATGAATGCTGGGTTTCAGGATGAGTGATGGTGTTGCAAATAGCTCGCTCAATAGGCCGATTATGTTGACTATAAGTTGAGAGAAACGCGCGAAACACACGTAAATTTTCGTAATAAAGTTGAACGACTTGTAAACTGTTATGCAGGTCTTAGTCTTCTCACGATGAAAAATGCTAAGCAAAAACAACACGATACAACTCTCGTGTGATCTGTCAGAAAGAGGCTATTGAATAGAGTAACTCTTCTTGAATCACTCTTTATACATAAATGATTGTGCGTACGTATTTAGTAGAACCATCTATATCGGACAGCTGTAGCATAAAGCTGCCACATAAACTAATAATCACGTAACATAGTCGGGTCTACATAACCAGAAAATTTCCGGTGTTTTGTACAACCGAGGACTTTTAACTTATAATTCTTCTGTACAACAATTTTTTTTCGATTTAACGAGATATATTTACTCCATTTGGTCCAAGGCAGCGAAACAAGCTCCAAGCAAATTGTTCAAATCGGATCGATATATAGTAACATTTTGCTATCATACAAGCTGAAGGATCAAATTTAAGTTATTTTGTAGACACCTTTTCATATGTGAACGGTATTATAGCTTCGGTGTAGTCACAGTCAACGAATTTTCTTATTGTTTTACTAATTTTCGGCTTCTATTACCGAAAATAATGTAAACCTTGGTTACAGCAGCTGATAAAAAATGTCTTTCAACACTCGTAGTTAGCGCCAATGTAATAAAGAAACTATTTTAATTCTTCAAACATAAAAACGAAGTCTACTTACCGGCGTGTCACCATCGTCCTTCTGCCAACGCGGCGTGCTCGGTGGATTTGAGTCAACATCACATTTCAGCGAAACTTCGATGCCTTCGCGCAGCGGATAGCCGAAACCGGGTGTGCGTGAAATAGCGAATGAAGGTGTATCTGTGGAAAGGCAAAACGAAAGTGGTAAATTTATGCTAACCCTTGTTTGTGTGTAAGTCAGGGCTGAGGCAATAGCATTAAGATGTAAAATTCAAATGACTACATGGGTAGTCGTGAACGCAACACAAAATAGTAGTTAAGACATTAAGGTAGAAGTGAAAGCAAACTTTCTGCGGAAAGCATGGCATACAGTTAGGCGTTGGTAGTACGAATGTCAACCGCTGTGGCGTTGTTGTTTGCTGCCTATTCTGGTAGGTGTTGCCGTTAGTTGGCTCAGACACGATGCGACTTTGCACCATTTTGTCGCTTTTTAATTAAAAACTTTATTATTATGATTGTCACACACACGCACACACATACACACGCATATACATATATATTTGCATTGCTGCCGAAAAACTTTTATAATTAAAGTAAATGTAAATGCGGCGCGTGTTTAGCACTAACAAAAACAAATACAGGGTAAATGCGCTGGTAAATACAAATACAAATGGAAAATGAAATAACAACAAGATGACAACAACAACAGTTGAAATCAGCGCCGCAAAAGTTCGCTCCCCAACTATTCGCTCGCAGTTGTATAGAAAATTTTGGATAAAACGCCGTCTCTACGCGTTAGTATGAGTGCGTGCATATGTGTGAGTGTGTTTGTGTGCTATGTTGCCGGATATCCGCCCACCGAAAAGTTGTATCGTAGTTGTTTTTGTGACACGCCAGTAATCGCTTGGCGAGGCGTTCACTTTTCGTGTGGCGGTGCGGACATTTCGGCACGAGTGACAGAGCAAAGACGCAGTCAAGTGGAAGAGTATAGAGAGTATAGAAATTAAACGAAATTGGTGTGATTACGAAGTTATACATTCTTGTATTTTATGGATGATTATGAAATGAGTTTGGTTCGGAATTACAGCGAAATGGCAGCTACACGTCGCTAGTTGATGACAGTGGTGCCAAGTTGTGACTTGGAACAGAGAGGAAAGATCGACACTCCAATTGCGTTGCCTGTTAGTTCGAGGCAAAAGTTGAAGGCTCAGAATAACTACTCAAAACATTTACGGACTTGTTATTGAACTTCGATACTGCCTTTTGCTTGTGTAAGTCATCTTTCTTTTCCCACTGAAGTGCAGTTAAATATCAGCTTGGGCTCAAGTTCATCGAGGACCCCTAACCTGTCTGAATTTAGCCTAGACACTTCAAGCTGCAGGTAGTTAAGTCTCAGAAGAAATAAATCCTACTTTTCCTTGAAGATTATTTCAAAATGTCGAATACACAGAGTTTCAAAAGTTTTCATAAATTTTAAATTTCTATACTTTTAACCACTATTCGAATACAATGGTATGAAGACATTTTAAGAACATAACCTCTAAGCTGAAAAGTGTCCTCGTTTCATAATAAAACAAGCAAGACAGGCCTAGGTTTTGGTGTAACCGAACATTCTATACTATTTAACTTGCAAGGATCGAAATCGGCAAAATATTTATACATTTGGTACGTGTTGGGGATATTAAACCAGCACATTGGTCGATATACATTATGTGTTGAAAAGTCAAATGAAAAATCAAAAATTTTTATATTATATACAAGGGCTAAAGGCAGTACTAATCCGATTCAACCTCATTTTTGATATAAGTGAATATATCCTAGAACGAGGTTTTTCCCGAAACTTCAATAATATATAAATGTGAGAAAAAAAAATCTTTTTCTATGTTGGTATTATTTGCAGGGACATCTTTGCCAAATATCACATCACAATAATCGTTCGAGTTTAATATATGCTTGTCTTTCTGTGCTATATAAAGTCCACTCGGCGATCTTTACGATGAGTGAAATTATTCAAGAAAGAAGTTTCATTAATTTTTGTCCGCGGAATCAAATTTCTGGTCCTGAAACGTTCAGAATGTTGAAAAAGGTTCTCTGTCATAATTGTTTTTCGCGATCACGTGTTTTAATTTCTTACAAATCATTCAAATAGGGTCGAGAGCTCAACATGTCAACAAAATAAAGGAATTGGAATTAAGGCAGAGATCTTACTGACATTGTTGGAATATGGGAGGGAACAGTGAAAACAAACTTTAAAGATTATCTAAACCTAAGAAAAGTGAAAGCTCGATTAATTCCAAAATCTCTCCAAATTTTTTTGAGTAACAGCTCCACGTTAACGTCTGTGAAGCAATGCTTTCCGACTACCGGGCTGTCATGAAACATATTATTACTGGCGATGAGTCTTGAATCTATGCTTACAATCCGAATACAGACGATATATCGGCAGCGTAAAAAAGCAAAGTTGAGCCGAAAAACCGCGTTGAGCAGATCAAATTTCAAGGTTATGTTGACAGTTTTCTTCGATTATCAAGGTGTGGTGCACTCGCAATTCCTGCTGACCGCACCAACTGTCGACAAGTAGAATTATTTGAGTGTTGTGCGTCATTTTCACCAAACTATGCTCGAAAAGAAGCCGGAACTATGGGCCGACAACTCTTGTGTTTTGTACCACGATAATGCAAAAAGTTGGCATAAGTATATTGAATCCAACTCATTTTGTACAAGTATATGTCGCTGCTATTTTTAGTCACCCCAAACCTTCGAAATATTTGAAAATCTTCTAGCTTAATAAACCCGGTTGTTTAATCGATGTGTGACAATAGATGAAACATTGCTCCATAATTTCACCAAACGACAGTCATTCAAGTGGTCTGCATATGATGAACCCGCTCTAAAACGCATTAGTCGACTGGCAAGGTTATGGCGTCTATATTTTGGGAAGCACATGGAATTATTTTTACTGACTTGAGCTTGAACTTATTTCCACATCCACTGTAGTTTTCAGTTCTAGTTCCTAACGACTTTTTCCTGTTCTCAGTGCACTAAAGAATGGTTGCTGAGAAGAAAGTTTCGTCGAACGAAGACAGGATTGCTGAAGGCAATTCGGCGTTCCTGTCTTCGTTAAATCAAACTGTATTGAGTAAAAAAAAACGAATTTTGCCATAATAAGTGCATTACTATGGTATGCCGAGGCTTTCCAAGTTAACTTCTTAAAAAATCTCTATAGAAAACAGAGCTTAGAATTGGATTCAAAGTCTTACTTCCTGTCTAAGCATTAAAGCGTTTTAAGCTAAATTAACTATGATAAATGAACCCTTCTTTTGCTGACTTTAACATAGTTCAAATATTAGTCTGATTTTACATTATTGTAGCAGTCATATCTATATCCTTTATCAGTTACCTGATACTTGATAACACTCCTTCAATTGTTATTTTTGTTGTTTACTAACACCTTCAAAAACTACCTATTCATTTTCCATTATCATGCCACGCTCACTACTTTGTAAGCTATGACATAACAATAGCGCCTTGTGTTGCACGCTAATGAGAGTTTAATAACTTTGCCACTTGGAACTTTTAAAGTCACTTGACTTTTCTTGCAGATTTTTGTCACATTTTCAGTGACGCATTCTGCATAAACTGTGACTTGCTTGAAGCTTGCCGATGATGTGAGAACTTTACTTGCTGTGCTATGTGTTGCAAGAGTATCTTATATGTCAAGCTTGTTTTTATTTTGGAGCAAAAACGGGCTGGAGAAAAGTAGCAAATTGCTTTTAAAGTCACTTTGTGAATATTTTAGTGTAGGAAATGTTGCGAGCACAAGTGCTTGTAAGTACATGTGAGAATAACGGTATCATTAGCAAGCTTTTTTCACATATTCTGCCAGAATTCGTTTACTTAAGCTGAGAGTTAGAGCAGCACATTCGTTTTTAATAAAGGGTGGGATCGTTAAGTGGTGTGAATTTTCATTTTCGTATTCGTGTTGAAGAATGAAGATATTTTTATGCTAATGTTCGGAGCTTAAAGCTCTAAGAAACGGGATTGTTTAAAAATTAGCTTAACACCAAGCTAACTTCGCACCTAAGGCACGACCAACTCTTAAATTGTGTATTAAGAGAGCTTAAAGCTCATTAATAAAAGCGCAGTCAATATATTAACAAGTAATGTATGTTAAAAATCAACAAAATCTAAAAAAACTCATTTACACATAAAAATATTAACATTTTCCTTACTCACATATATAATATGGACCTTTTTGGAAAAATATTTTCAAAACTTAAACTCTTTCCAGAGTTGTTGATAATGATCATATTTCGACTTAGGTCTATCATTGCCTGATCACTCAAATATTTTAAAATGGTTATATTGCTAAATTCAACGAGCTTAAAGCTCCAGAGCATGCTTAGTAATTTTATTTAGCTTTAACTGTAAAACTAGCTAGCATTTTATAGTAAAATGTGCTTAAAAACCTTAAATAATTCATTATTTTATTTTCTAAAAGCTTCGAAAGTTAAAATTTCATAATATTTTTATAAATTTGAGTCATTGTTAACAGAGGTGATTTAGGGTTCTTAATTTTTCAAGCCACGAAACTTTCACAAAAGCTCAGAAGTAGAAATGATTCTCTGTAACATAGTTCTTTTCGTACTTTAAATATTTTATTTATTTATTATACTCAATTTTTAAAAGCTACAACAACATTTTTCTAACCTTTTTGCTGTCGGCAATAATAACGAAGATACAAAATGTAGAGCTTTTGTAAACTTACGAAGAGAGTTGGTTTAAAAATTTTAGTTTTTCAAGCCATAAAGCCTTCACAAAAGTCAGAAGGAAAAATTTTCCTTTATGATATAGTTATGGACATTTGAGCTTCGAGGAAACCTCAGTGAAAGCTTCCTTTCATTTTTAAAGCTCTTGCTTTGAAGCTTTGAGCCAGTGAAAGCTCTTAAGTTTTCACCACTACTTTAATTTTTATTAAAGCTTTTCAGTTATCTAAAAAGTTTTAATGTTTCAGGCAGTACATATTACGTTTCTATTTATCTTCTAATTTAGACTTAAATGAAAGCTCTTTAAGCTCGTTTTGCTCATTGATTTATTCCCTGATAAATATTTTAACGCAAAAATCGTTGTATTTTCTCTTTTTTTCAACTAAAATCCAATCATCTGCCAGGGTTTGCGCAAAAAAATGTGCCACAAACAGAAGAGCTCTAGCTATTTCAAGTTTCAAAAATAAAGCACGCTTCTCCTCATCAATGCTTAACAACCCTTTTTTGGTTGGTCTTCCCTCTTCCCCCTTACTTACATTGCACATCGAGCAGCAGCGATGCATTTTGGCGTATCTTCAACGTCGGATGCTCCATAACGCACAGAATGCGAGCATTGTGATGGGCACGGTAGACAGCCGGCAAGCGGGCCTCACTTTTCGCGCCGCCATTGATTTTGTATGCGTTTTTGTCCTGAAACGAGAAGAACACAAAAAGTTGCATGAAACCAGTGAGTAGTGCAAAGATAAACAAAGTACCGTAAAACAAAGAGAACCACAACACAAACAACACACACACGCGCGTGTGCTTGTGAGTTTGTAGGCAGTGGCATGTGTGAAAATACTTTTGGTGTTGGGTAAAAATTTTCGAAAACATTTCGTATGCAGTAAAAAATTTACATAAAACACGCTGAGGCCACCTACGTTGCGCACCTCGCACCTCAGTCCTGAGCCACCGCTCCGCTTTTGGACTAACATTTGAGGTGTTTGCAAAATCTACATACTCTCTGGCACGCATGCTCTTGCACTGCAACAACATGATGCCACATGTGCATGGTCACACACACACACACATGTTCTAAAACCAGACACATTGCAAAATGCCAGAGTTGCATTTTTAAGGCGAATTCCTGTAAAGCCACATAAAAATGCAACGAAAAAAGAAGGCAACAATAAAAAATAAAAGAAAGCACATTTGGAGCGTGCAGCAAGCTGAACTTCGGTGTGGTGGCGGGCGCAAGGTTGTGGCGCCAAATGAAAATAAATGACAGCGTTGAAATACTTTTGGCAACAGTGTTGCATTTTTTACGCTACTGGTCGGTGTGTGTGGGTCCTTTGAGAGCTGTTGGTATGGAAATTTGACAAAAGCCTAGCAAGAGGCGTGAAAGTGTGCCGCTTAATGTCAGGCGTATGTTTTTTTCACAGCTTGTAAATAAATTATGGCACCGCGAGGAATGAGAGCAAAGTGAAAGCGAATGGTGGTGAGCGAGTGCAATAGGGTATTAAGTGAACGGCGGCGTTCAGTGAGTGCGGAAAACAAAAATGAATAAAAATGAATAAGTACATGCCCGACACAGTAGTTTTTAACTTCCGTAAAATATCATAGCCGCTGAATTGTGCTGAATTTGTTTGAATAGTAGTACATTGCTTCAAAGGCTGCTCAAACAAGCATTGAGATTGCGCTGAATAAAACTGAGGCGCATTTAATGATATAAGCTACCAACAACTTACATTTTTATAGCATAAACGAAAATATTTAACGTTGAAATGGAAATGTCCAAAATATTATTTAATATAATTGCCTACCTGAGATACTGAAATTGAAAATGAAATATTAAATTTGACTCAAAGCATGAGCTGAATTGCGCTGAATTAAGCTGAATAGCGGTACGTTGCCACAGAGGTTGCTGCGACGAGGATTCAGATTATGCTGAATTAGACTGGGGCACGTTGAATGATATAAACTACCAATAACTTACAATTTTATTGAACAAAAAGAATATTTAACGATGAGTTGAAAACGTACAAAATATAAATTAATATCATAATAACTCAAGGAAATAGTAAGTTTGATTAAAATTAGATCGGTATATAATTTTATAGTCGTGCGCTGAATTTAGTTGAATTTAGCTGAATAGCGGTACGTTGCCTCAAGTACCGCTCTGACAAGCACTCAGATTACGCTGAATAAAACTGAGACGCGCTGAATGATACAAACAACCAACAACTTTAATTTATATTAAATAAAATGAAATATTTAACAAAAAGTGAAAATGTGCGAAATAAGTTTGACTAAAGGTAGTTCAATATTCAAATTCAAAGATGTTCGTAAAAATTTTAGGCGCTGAATTGCATTTACAGCATCTTAATTGCTCTGTTTTCATATATAAACCATGGATATCTCTTATTTAAATATTATTTAAGTTTAGTTTAAGACCAATTAGTTATCATAAAAACTTTAATTTAATTAAAAGTTATTTAGCTTCACTGCCTAGCTTACAAAATGTATTATATAGCGCTAGGATATATTTAAGTTTTTGGTTTTGTTTGTTCTTCAATTTTAGATTATTTGTTGGCGCAGGTCGACATTCAACCTGCTGATTCACCACAATGAAGTTTCATTAGTTAAATTCACCGAACTAAAACCGCAACCGAACAATTTTCGAAGAACATATACCCAATTACATTCAACAGAATACAACGAATAGTGAGTACATTGAGATATTCTCCTAAAATCGTTTGCAAACGGAACGCATTGGAGTTGTGACAAATTCATGTGGCTTGTAGTATACATATACTAAAGCATAACTTAAATGCAAAGAGTGGGTGAGTAATTGATTAAGTGAGCTGGAAAGCGAATATGAGTTTGAGTCGAATTTGTGTGAGTTCAATATTATTATTATTATTTTTTTATTTTATAACGGTTTGATGCTACGGCTGCTACTATGCCGTTCTCTTTCGACCAATTCAGCGATTTATCGCAATTTTCGACAACAGGCCTTCCGGAGCGTGGCGCATCTTCGACCACCTCTACAAAAGAACGAAAACGTTGAAACCATCGTTGTGCGGTGTAAATGGAAACTGTATCGGGTCCATAAACTGCACAAATTTTATTGGCGGCTTGAGATGCATTTTTGCCTTTATCGTGGTAGTACTGTAAAATATGCCGTAATTTCTCTTTATTTTGCTCCATGTTTGCGACGCTATAACTCACGAACGACTTTAAAGAAACGACAATCAATCAAACACGTGTTAGCGCGTGAAATGAGCTTTCCAAAAAGGTATAGCATGACCCGATGCGAC